CCCCAGGCGAGAGGTGCCCCCCCCTACGGGGAAGGCAACGGTGGTGCCCAGTGAGTACTGTGGTGTCTCAGTCACGGTCCCTCACATCAAACCGGTCACTCGGCTTCTGGCTCCCTCACATCAAACCGGTCACTCGGCTTCTGGCCCTGCCTAGACTGGAGGGCAGGGAGCCTACTAGGCTCCTTATTCCCTGGTGAGGAGGCAGGTTTTACCTTCCTTGTAACGAGGTGTTCTCAAGCTGTTCTTAAATCTCTCGAGTGGGGTTTGACCTGACGCAAGTTCTCATGCCAAACGCGTCCCCCAGGCTCTGGCACCGGTCGGTCCCCTCAGCCGGGCAGGCAGCCGAAGCCTTCGTACTTTGGCATCTACCAGCCTCCTCGGGGGGTGTCAGAGGAGGAGCCGCTGCCCCAGCGTTTACACCGAACCCAAGGAGTCACACACACACAAGCCGCCGGGACCGGGGTCCCCTCACAGCCAGCGAGCCCAGAGGTGCCCCTTCACGCTCCCTACACGCTCCCGGGTGCGCTGCCTCCTTCTTCAGGCTCGACCCCAGGCTTCCTGCAGCAGAGTCTTGGGCATCAGATTTTATAAAAATAATTAATTTAATTGAAAGGTACAGCAGCAGGGTCAGCCGGGGGCTGAGTGCCTCCAAAAAGGGAGGGACCACAAACAAAGAAATCCCTGGACAATTACACCATTGCCATCTCTACACTCGCCCCTCACGCATCTTTTAGGCCAATGGTGATTTTTGGTCTGGAGTCTTCTAACACCTTGGCTTCTTTTTCCGAGTCCAGGCAGGCCAGCCGTTGACTGCTCCGATCTCGTTGATTTGCAGTCTCTGCTAAGTGTTGTCGCATCCTCCTGATCTGGTCTATGGTTCTTGTGCACCTGCGCTGGCTGGCAGAACATGAGGAACTGAAAAGTCGCAGACTTAGGAAAAACACTACCAAAACATCAGTGTGTTATCGACATTTTTTCTGATACTAAAAGACTAAACTACCAGCTGCTAGGAAAATTACTAAGAAAATTAACCCTATTGCAGCCTAAAGGCTTCAGCAAATCTTGCTACCTTTGTTAAGTAAAGCTAAGCAAACAGCATAAATCACACCATATTATAACCCTAAGTAATTGATTCTAATTAAAACGTACTAATTTAAGCTAAACAACTAATATCTCTCAACAGGAGCATCTGTACAGTAGAGGATTTTTAAGAAAAGTCAGCACGAATCTGACCGATGCCAGGTAATTTTAAATAAACCACAGCAGGAAGGAGGAGGGCCTTTTGTTAACCAGGGTTAGACAGATTTTTCAAATCCATGTGATCACACTAATGCGTTTTGGTGCTACCTCATAATAAAACAGAACAAATCAATACACCAAGAGATAAATGAGGACTCTAAATGCTCCTGACGGGATTAATAATCTCAGGAATAATCACATGATGATTCTTACAGTATGTGTTGCCATAAGGAAACATCATGGCAAAAAGGCATTAAGAAACACAAACTTAACAGAATTTCTTGCAATTCACTAAGGAACAAATGTCTTCCAATCACTGCTGCTCTAAAATGACAAATATAGATTAGAAATGTCTTTTAAAACCTGCTATTTGCCTGCTAACTTTCCCTAATATTTTTATAACCTTGGACCAACATTACAATTCATGTTCTAAAACAGTTGTGAGAACAAAGAAAAAAAAAAAAACAACAGAAAAGCTTTCTGAACAATTTTTTCATCTGGTTTGGGAATTCCAAGTGTCACAATTCCCTCTCTGAAAACAAAAATTAAATTCTGGTAAGCAGTTCAAATAAACATGCCTACACCGCTAGATAAGTAATTAAATGGATTTTAAAGGCAGAGGAAAACACAGTTTAAACGTATCATATATCATCTTTCACAATACTGTTACAAAAATACTTTAATTAAACGATATATTAGCTTAATACCGATACAGTAAACTGACAGATCAGTTTAATACATCATTGTTATCCAATGGATTCCTTTTAATAAAAAATAGTGCATGGAAAATGCTTCCTGCTTTCAGTTTATGCTGCTTGTTTTATCCCTTTCTTAATATACAAAAATCAGACAAAAGTACCTAACCCCAGCATTTTTGCAAATAGTGAATAGTGACACCCAGGACAGTTCCTAAAATAGGGCAGGTAGACCCATTCCTAAAGACAACTGCTTTAACCAGCAGAGATCACTGTTGCTTTTCAAGATAGCCCTGTATCAAACCTTGAACCCGAGACAGAATAATCTCATTGGAGCTGCTGCACTCTTCTGGGCCGTAGGGTGGGTCAATAGTCAATACCCCCGCCACGCATAGCGTTCTTCCCGATTCACCTTGCTCCATGACGGGGATGTGGTTCGTTTCTAGCCAAGTCTTCAAGTCGTTCTTCCTCTTTTCATGTTCCTCTGGGCTGTAGGCTTTGCTTTCTTCAGGCGCAAATATGCAAGAAAGCCGTTGCTTTGTTTCATCGTCCCCTTCTTTCAGTATTTCAACCTCCTGGACAGCATGGCCCAAGACAACTGATATGGACACTTTCTCATTCTCCAGGAATGTTGCAAGGACAATACTGCCAAGGAAAGAAGGATGTGTGAGTCACTGTCCTGAACTGAAGACAGGCCAAGATTCTTGGAGATGAGTGCTCATTAGCATCAGCGTAACCCAGGTATTGAGGCAATATTGGGTACCCAGCATTTTTCTTGAAAAGCATGCTGCTATACCCTTAAAATATTGAAAATGTGGGGCTTTGCGGGTAACTTCTGCCCTTGAATTTGAAACTATGCTAGATACTATCAAGCAGAATGTTACTTCAAAAAAGCAAAGCATACATTAAAATCAGGGCTGGGAGTCTAAATATTTTTGTGCAGCATTCCCAACCTTGCTAAAGAACCTTAAGCCTTCCAACATTCAAAAACAATGATACCTTCATAGTTGTCAGCACTTTGAACGCTGAAGGCAATGGTGGCAGCTAAAAACGTCAGAACCTTTTAATGCCAAATTATTAATATTTAATTATTGATTACTACTAAAAGATTTTTTTTTTCTTTAAAATGACTGTTGCTAGTTTCTTAACTGAAAACTATAGCTTGGGTATTACAATGGGAACACACCACAACAGGTTCAGGCTCATGTAGCAGCCTGGTCTTTCCCCAAGGGCACTTAAGTCCCAGAAGTCCTAAACCACAGGTAGGATATTTCTAGGATATCTTCCCCATATGTCAACAAAGAGGATCAGAAACCATTATTTTTTTTTCCTCTTGTAGGAAGAAAAATTCCAGAATTTGATGCCAGCACTTTGCTAATCTACTGTTGCCACCATTAGTGGAACTAATGACTTCTTGGGAAATACGTGATGAAATATGCCTTGTTTTTAGCAGAATCACTCACAGCTGCGTGCACCTTTCCTAACAAAATGATAAGCAACTCCAAGAGAAAAATAGAGTATCAGAGCTACTCCAGAGTTGAAGCAACAACTAATTTGTCTGAAACACCTCAGCAGCTGGATGTTTCAGTCTCTAGCCTCCTTTCTGTCCCACGCCCTTGCTGATTTTCCCTGCTTCCTCTCCAAAGCAGCCACTACACCCTCATGGCTAGAGGGGAAAGCAGGGCACCGATTTGAGAACTCTGGAGAGAGGAAGAGGATTTGAACACCTAAAGCATTAAAAACATTCCTGCAGTCCTGCTCTCTTTGTGAAGCAGGGCTCAGTATATTATTAAAAGTAGCCCTAAACACATGGATATAATTTAAAGTACTAACCTCAGGTGCACAATAAAGTCAGCATGAATCCAGATACTATCCATTCCCCAAACTTATCAATCCTTTGGACGAGATTAAAGTGGATTTAGCTGAACTGACCTCATCCACTACAGTATCACTTCCTCTTGGGCCTTGCCAATTAAAAAAAAAAACACAACAGGCCACAGAGCCCCAACTTGCAGATTTTGCTCCAAATAAGTTTGCTTCAGTCTTGGGATCTTTTCTCTTCCTGAAAAACTTGTTTTCTCTTAGCTTTACAGAAAAAAAAAGCTTTGATACTTACCTGGCAGAAACTGGATCAACTGTTAAGACCCATCCTTCATATTCATGTTTCTCAACTGCAGCAACTTTCACCAGTTTGTTCACGTACGTTTCCCAGTCTAGAGGGCTTTTCCTCTGCCAGTCATTCATATTTCCTACATCTAGCATCTGGAACATTGCCAGAGCAATTAGCAGAAGCCACGGATCCTCTTGCTTTCCCCTTCACATCAGAATCGAGTTTACCTGCGGGTAAAGATCTTCCATTCGTCTTAGGCATAACTGGCTTTTTTTTAAGAGCAAACATTCATGCAGGCGGTTTGTGTATCACTGCAGCTCTGCAATTTCCCACCCAGTTCACTTGTTTTCAGAGGCACGCAGCAAAACCTCAAAAATCTCTGCTCTGCTAACTTAATGCTTCCTTGTGTTAAACATTGCCTTTATTGCTCTGCCCTCTGGGGAAGGGGAAGGGAAGGGGGAGGCGAAACTCCCCCCAGCCCCACTTACCTGCTAGGTGACCGCTGGCCGCTCAGTTGCCAGCCCCAGTGGGGGCTGCCACTCAGCCCCCGTGGAACGTGGTGTGTGTGATGAAGGCAAAGCAGGTCAGACACCGCTCAGGAAGAAAAGAGCTCAGGCAGTCAAAGGAGACAAGCGGGCCGTGTCAGCCTGTAGGTAGCAAAAAGGCCCAAGGAACCTAACTGGGGAAAACTGGGGCATTCTGTTAAAACTATAAGGTTGCTGGTTTATACAAAGTATTGAAAATAAAAAGCGTGTGTCCTTTAGGTGAACTTAACTCATCACAGTGTGAAAACCACACCTCCAAATCTTAAGCTATAGCTTCCTCACTGGGCATGCGTTGTGATTTACCAAGGTACTATAGCTTTAATTCAAAGCGAATACAAGTAGCCACTAGGAGCTTATTGTGAAATCATGAGCCGCCAATGAAAAGTATAGTATGCCAATTAGTCGATTTTTGTAAAATATACAAGCTTACAATGTATAAGCCAAGGCGTCCTAGCTTTGTGGCGTTTCCACCTGACACCTGCCTCTGCACAGACATGAAATAACCAAATATCTCCCCCCTGTGTGTGGAACAGCTCTTTGCCCAGTGGGTGAAGAACCGAGATTTCAGACAACATATCTATTATATGCAGGTTTATATATATTTATGAGGCCAGACTGCAAAACAAGGTGATGCAGAGCGCGGCACTGAAACCCGTCCGGCATTCTGCCTTCGGCCTCACTGGAACTGGGTTTTGCCAGTGCCCCTGCTAGGGCTGTCAGATTGCAAAGCCATGCAGGCAACATCATGCCTTGAGCCCCTTCCAGCAACCTGCATGCATAAACAGGTATAAATACAGTGCTTATAGATAAAAATGCTTTTGTTCCCGGGTTTTGACTTGTCCTTACAAGCTCTCCTGTGCAACTGTGGCAGGGAGAACCTTTATTTCTGCCCTACCCCCCCACCGAAAGCTGCTGTAGTTTAACACTACTGATGAAAAGCTTCCTATGGATGAAGTGAGCAAGCTGCTGTCATTTGAGTAATTTTAGTGAAAATAAGCATGCGATATTTTTGTGAGCATAACTGAAAAAATATGAAGGGTATAAAATGCCATAGTCTTATTGTAAGGAGGAAATTTCCCTTTTTTTGGGTGAAGTTTCACTTCAACTTCCACAGTGCTATGGGGATTATTTATGAATGGCACATGCCGCTGTATTATTCAGTTACCTATTTTCCTTCAGAGTTATAGTTTACTAGAAAACAGGGATTAGCAAATAATTTTCATTTTAAGAGCAAGTGACACAGTGGGAAATCTTAGCTTGTTTGAAAGAAAAGTGGTGGACAGAAGGAACGCGTTTTGTTTTTATGTGCTCACACGTACAATACATTTTAGCCGTCTGTGGTCTGAATGTCTCCCTAACCGGTGCCCCTCTGGATCACAGACCAGAGGGCAGTTTGTTCAAAGTCTGTTTTGAGCAAAATACTCCAAACGTCTTTGGTTTTAATTCTCGCTAGCCTCAGTGCCTACTGATCCACCCCCCTACCCCGTTCCCAGAGTAGTTATTTAATTGTTCTGAACCACAAGACGGGGCTTGGAGCAACCTGGGCTGGTGGGAGGTGTCCCTGCCCACGGCAGGGGGTTTGGAACTGGATGATCTTTAACATCCCTTCCAACCCAAACCATAAAAAAAGAAAAAAAAAACAAAACCCCCCATTTTTTTTTGTCCTGCCACCTGAGGCCTACGTTACAGCTGCGGGTGGCTACCGCGGGCCCTGCAGTACAGCTCTCCCTCCCCAG